TTGTGGGGGATATTCATACGATAAGTATTTATTCCTGCAGACATCTGGACATCTGAGGAATTCCCACTGCTGTGCCACAAAGCAGACTCCTCGGAGACCTTTTACACATTCAAAATAGCTTTTAAAGATATTTTATATTCTGGGGAACTCTAAGGGCTTCACCCATAAAAAATAAGTCTTTCAAGTTGGCAGGGGAAAGAACCCTTTCCAGATGGAGAACTTGATGCTGAAGGAGGTAAACTCACTTCAGCAGCCACGGGAACAACACAAGGCACAGCCAGGGGCTGAAATCGCCTCAAACCTGAAAATATTCTTAACTGTGCATAAAAGAGAATCTGAAAGTTGCCTGTGAGCTTACACCTGGCCCCAGTAGAGCTTCCTCATCAGCATTCCAAGCTGGCCTCAGAAAGCTGGAGAGAGGATCTTGCAAGCACAGGAAAATAGACAAATTTCTTCCCTTCAAGCCTAATCTGATGATTTAAATCTATCCATCCTAATGTCTCTCAGGTGTTCTAACCATCTTATGCCTTTTAAGAGTGCTTCTGCAGGGAGGTAACACTAGTAACTTTTCCTCTGATTAAACGCATCTGCCGCAAAATAGCAGGTGCCTTCTGGACACAATGAGATTCTCAGAAATTCCAGCAGGAAACTTGCAAAAGGTTTTGAATGCTCCTATGTTGAAACGCATTTTAACTTTTCTTAGATTTTGGAGGAAAAGGGGAGAATGTTTGTGTAGAATTCAATGTCCTTCATACAAAAGGCATAAAAATACTAATAGAGTGGACTTGTTGCCTAAAACATAAAAAATGAATTAAGCCACTAATGTTAAAACAGAGGAATTTTCAAAAAAGGTTAAAATCAGTACTCTCATAAAATACAAAATGAACACATGTTTAAGATTTTTTTTAACTCATTAGTGAAGAAGGAAGATATTATAACCAGGAGAAAGATATTACGGAGGAGAATCCAAAAAGCAAACACATGCAGATCTGGGAGAGTAAAATGAAGGTGCCAATGGCAGGCAAAAGTCACTTTTTCCACAGCGGCTAGGAAAGCCAGCTGAACCTCTACGGGACAGAATTTACACATCCACAACAAAGGTTATTTTGTATTGCTATCACCTATCTACAACTTACCGAGTTGTAAAAACAGCTCCATGGAATTAGACAGCCCCAAATGGTGTGCTATTGACGAGGTATAGTTTTTCACAGAAGCCCAACTTTTTCCCTGCACAGACCACTGACCGTCTTATTTATTTCTGTATTCCCCAAACCTGGTACAAAGTCGGCGCTCCATAAATACCTGCAAATGGATAAATGTCTACTATGTATCAGGCGTTAAGCCAGGCCCTTCGCGAGCATCGTGCCATTTAATCCTCCTGACAACTCTTTAAAATATCTATTCTCATTTCACTGATGAACAACTAACTTGTGTAATGTGTATAGCTATCGCTTGTCAAAGGCTGGGGGTGGAAGACAAGTGGCGAGGATCAGACTCGGGTCTGTGAAAGCCCTTTTTTCTTTCCCCTGTTTAATAGAGGTCCTTTTTCTTTGCCATCACTGCACTATCTGCCTCTAAATTTAGGTACTGCTTACATGTTACACTGGTGTAACACACCTGCTTGATGAGCATGCTACTAGAGACCCACACTAAGAAAAAGCAAATGAACAGCAACACTTAGGAGGATCTAGGCATAAATAAGAGGCGCCTGAGCATTTTTGTTGCAGCCTTGCAGATAAGCACAGGATATTTACCAGCCTAGACTAACCCACTTGCATCCTCAACATGACCCCCACCCCCACGTTGCTCATTTCCCAACTTTCAGGATAATAAAGATAGATGAGTTCAACACCGTTTACGTGTGTTGTTTGTTTTCCCAGAAATCAGAACAGCACTTGGAGAATAGCTGCAGCTAACATTCAGCACGTGCTTCCCACTAACTCCTCTCACAGCAACACTAGGACGAGGCAGGTCCTGGTACCGCCCCCTTTTTGCAGATAAAGCTGAAGGGCACCACTGACCTTCACAAGAGCCCACAGCAAAGCTGCAGCTCTGGGCTTCGACCCAGCACCTGTCACCACTGCTGGCTCTCACCCTCAGCAGCCCACTGGTTTTCGGGGGCTGGTGATGTTTGCTCTAGCAGTTACCATAGGTCTTAGTTTTTCACAGACCTCTTTGCCTGTGAGAAACTGCTTATCACAGCCTAGTCTCCAAAGGTACGGAGATCGCCGCAGCTTCCAGCATCGCAGGGCTGGTCGCTGCGGGCCAGCTGCGTCCCCGTTTATTATCTGACCACTTGGCGCTTGCGATCACTCAGGTATTTCACAATCACCTTTGGAGAGGCAAGGCCCAGAGAACAGGGGAAGAGCCTGGCTTTCTGTCTCTCACAGTTGATTGTCAAAAAGATGTGGGCCAAATGTTAATGTAAAATCATTCTCTCTGTTCCCTAAGCCCCCAATAATTTTCTGCTTTCCTTTCTTGCTGAAAATAGGCTGCCCTTGGAATGAAGAGTATGCTTTTAGACACCTCCAGATGAGTCTTGACATGAAAAATAGCAAAATGCTGGCATTTAGAAGGTGTTAAGAAATGGCCAACTTAGTGGTTTTCTTAATATTATTTCATTTAATCTCCACAACAACTCTTGGGGACAGGTACTATTATCATCTTTATTTTGGAGATGATGAGGGAGGTTAAATAACTCAACCAGCGAAAGCAGCTTGCCCAGGATTCCAAGAAAGTCGTGATTTACCAGTATCAGTAGCATTTCATAGAGACCAAATGTGCCACCAGAAGCAATATGACAGGTGTTGGAAATACGTATCGCATGTCCCCGCCCTCTTTCTTCATGTCACTTAGCAGAAAGCCTTGGGAAGTGGTACCATTGACTCTGAAGCACTGAGGCGTGAGACCTTTACTTCTAAGGGATGTTAAGCTCCTTCTCAACAAACCATTATAAATGCCTACCCTTCCCTCAAGGGTATTGCATAATTCCTGCCCATAATAAAAGATAACACTTCTTTAAACTAAGATCATGAAAAAGGCTTTGCCATTACTCTATCACACAGGCATTAAGAAACATCAAGCACACATTATGGGACGAGGTGACCATAATCAGCCAAATGGTTGCTAACTGATTGATTTACTTAAGGGGTGGAAAAACTGGCTCTGAATGGGATTTTTTATATTGTTAAGGGAGGGCCTAAGGGAAAAAAAAATTAGATGCTTGGAATCTAAGCTAAGTTCTGACATGCCTTCAGAACTTCAGGAATTTCATCTAAAAAGCCATTATTCACGGCGCCTAGGTGGCTCAGTCACTTAAGTGTCCGACTTCAGCTCAGGTCATGATCTCACAGTTCATGGGTTCAAGCCCCGTGTCAGGCTCTGGGCTGAACACTTGCTCGGAGGCTCAGAACCTGGAGCCTGCTTAGGATTCTGTGTCTTCTTCTGTCTCTGCCCCTCCCCCTACTCACGTTCTGTCTCACTCTGTCTCTCAAAAATAAGTAAATGTAAAAAAAAAAAAAAAAATTAAAAAGCCATTATTCTAGTTGCAGGTCAGAGGAAGCAAAGTGAATTAAGTACAATTTTAACACTTCACTTTGTTAAGTACTGAGCCTAAGCTACACTTGGGTGTGTTCCATAAATATTAAAACATTACCAATCAGGTCAGAAGGAATATCTAGGATAATCTAGTTTAGCATTTGAAAATATTCTTTAGTGGCACCTGGGTAGTTGAATCCGTTAAGCATCTGCCTTTGGCTCAGCTCATGATCTCACGGTTTGTGAGTTTGCACCCCACACTGGACTCTGTGCTGACAGCTCAGAGCTTAAGCCTGCTTTGGATCCTGTGTTTCCCTCGCTCTCTGCCCCTCCCCCACTTGCGCTCTCTCAAAAATAAACATTAAAAAAAGAAAAAGAAAAAATGTTCCTTAGTATTAGAACCCTTTTTTCCAAACGAAGTTTTTTGTATAATTCAAACATGTAAAACAGACACAAAGGGAGCTGGTTTAGTTGACACACCCATCTTGACCCAAAGTGTACCCTCTGTCCCCTTGGCAAACTTTAGCGTACCCAAGGGCTCCACGGAACACAGTTTGAAAACCACCCAGTTTGCAAAGAGGCTTGGCATCCACAGTGCTGGGCTACTCAAGATCAAGTCACTTTCCCACTAGAGGACAGTTTTCTCTTAGAAAAGGAAAGAATCTGGACTAGAATCAGGACTTCTCAACACGCTTTCCCTTTGAAGCACAGTTTTGGTGCACAGACTATGTTTTTCCGTCCCATATTTCACCAGTGTTTGCAAGAAAGGAGGGAAGAGGGGAGGGATGCTGCCCGTATTCACACAGACCTTCAGGGTGAGAGGGCAGCTGCAGTTTGGAGCAGATCCCCTTATCCTGAGGGGCTCCCACGGTGGGCCCCATCGGTTCTTCTCACTCACCCTGTTCTCCAATTGACAGACAAGATCCTAAGGGCTTTTACAGTTCATTATACTGTCATAGTTTCTGCTTCCAAGTGCCTCTTGACCTCCAAATATAATAGTCAGAGCCCCTTGATGTAAATGGAATCTTCATTTGTGCTTTGAAGATATTCATCTCAGGGGCAGTAAGTTAGTATTATCATATTCACCTCAAAATTTTCCTGTTTAGAAATCTTTCCTGCTTAGAACACCTAATACTGATCCTGTAAACCCAGCTAATTTGAAAGACTTCATTTCTTTTCTCTAGGATGGGTACATATTTCCTCTAGAGTCCCTCACCCAGGCCCTCCACTTGACTCCCACATACATGTACTAGACACTGAGAATCCGTGCTTCTCTAGAACTTCTTATGCTTACTCAGTAGCATAGCTTGCATGGATCTGGAATCCATCCTCCTTTCAAAGTAAGCAAACCCATGCTAGAAAATTTCAGTAGGGAGACGCAGTTCATTGTAAGGGTATGGGAAAGGCCACTGTGATGGGGAGAGAAAGAGGGAGTAAAATATTTTGGATGCCGCATACTTTACCAGTTATGTCATGCTGTTTGAATGACTCACTGTAGATCTGATACTGATTCGGACAATGTTTCTTCAACCACTTGCACACATCCTGCTGAGTCCACAGAGCTACTGGTTTTGACAGCTTCACCGTGGCCGACTATAAATGAAGAAGGAAAAGGTCTGTTAACGTCAGCCCCATGTCTAGAAAGGCACTATAAGAAGTCCTGGAGCGTGTGGTCAGGGCTGCAGGCTGGAATCCCTGAAGATAAATATCTGGCTCTTTTTCTCCTGACGTCTCTAGACCTTTTCCACACCCATGAAAACCAGAAGAAAAGGTGTAGGTGGAGAAGGCCATGAAAATTATACTCATTCTCAAGTTATCATCTCTACAGGAAAAAATCCCCAGGAAGTAGTGTTTTCTGACAAACACTCCAACAGTAAGACAATGCTGTTGCTAAGCATTTAAATCAATTTTAGGGGTGAAATAGCTGCCCCCAAGTGGCCTTTCTTTGTATTCCACCCAAAGTGTCCATTTTTTGCTACCCTCTGAGATCTCTAGGGTCTAGTGCAACACTAGCCCTGGCAGGTGCTAATAATTATTTTAGGGACGAACGTTATTAGATTTAGATACCTACATGCTAAAGAGTGCACGTTTGGCCTGGAAGTGGTCCTGTAAAGTCTAGGAATTAGTTAGTTATGCCACAGCAGGGAAGCAAAAAGTCAATTCCGCTAGCATGTGGAGAATGGTAATAAGAAAATGGGGTGGGTAAACCTAATGTAGAAGCGAACTAATCAAGGCCTTTTATTGCTCAATGGATCGTTCAGGAAGGGGTTTATGAAACAAAATGAAATGAAACAAAGGTGTTAGGACCCAGCCTTTGACAGATAACAGGTCACAAATTCATTCATTCTTTAATGTGCATTAGCTCTGCGCTGGATCCTGTCTTCTTCATGGATCCTAAGAACTTAGCTGAGGCAAGATGAAAGCTTAGCTATTTATAATTCTGTATCATTTGGTATCAGAGTTTGTCAACAATGTAGGATTGTAATATAGAAAATTCTTTAAAGGATTTAGGGCAGCACCTGGACCTGGCCTTAAATATTACTGACCTTCTCACTAGGGATCATTCACTTTTACTTCTCTTTCAGTCTTTCAGATTACGGCAAGAAGAGAGCCTCAATTTTGTAGGACTGTGATTTAATAACTTTCAAACACCTGCTAACATTTTTGACAAAGAGGGCTCACCTCAGCCTCATAACCTTCATTGGAAAGCAACATACTAACAACTGTTCAATTTTGTTTTGATTATATTTAAGGTTACTTTTGTATTATAGCAAATAAATTAAGGCAAAAAATCAATTTTATTTTCAGTAGTAATATCTACTTTGCTTTTATTTTTAGTTTATTTATTTTGGGGGGGGAGGGAGGGAGAGAGGGAGAGAGGGAGAGAGAGAGAGAGAGAATGAATCTGAAGCAGGCTCCAGGCTCTGAGTTGTGAGTACAGAGACTAATGTAGGGTTCAAACCCATGATCTGTGAGATCATGACCTGAGCTAAAGTTGGATGCTCAACTGACTGAGTCATCCAGGCACTCCTAGCTTGCTTTTAAAACAAATTTGAGTTTAAAAACAGCTGGTCAATTAAAAAAAATGAAGGCAAGAGTGATACTTATAATAAAAGAAGTCACCGCATGTGATTCACATTTGTGAAATATAGTGCTCAGGCATTTTTTTCTATTAGTATATTTCCAACAGGATTCTTTGGTCATGACTTACAAAATTATCATGAGCAATATTTTTTACTTTATGCTAGTTTACTTTGATAATTTTTTCACTCTTATTATGGTAGATTGTATTTCTCAGGGATGATTTTATTCATGTACATATATACACACACATATACATATATCTGCTTTTCATTCATTGTACTTGATATCCCTACACTGATATTTGGGGTTGATGTTCCTTCTCCTTAAATTTCGGCAAGGTCTGTAATGGTCCTGGCCAGTGGAGCACAGTGGAATTGATGCTATCTATGTGACTTCCAAGGCAAGGTCACAAAAAGATACAACTTTTGCCTAGCTTATCCTCTTTGGCACTCAGGTTTGGAACCCAACCACATGCTATGGGGAGGCTCAGACCATGTGAAGAGACCATGTGTAGAAATTTTGGCCAATCCCCCAACTGATGTTTCAGCTGACAGCCAGCACCAACCATCAGACAAATGAGTCAAAAAGTTGCAGATGGTTCTGGCCATCAGTTTTCAAATCTTCCAGCTGAGGCTCCCAGACACCAGGCTGCAGAGCAAGCCATCCCTGCTGTGCCGAGTCAATTCCTGACTCATAATCTATGAGCATCACAAACTCTTGTCTTTCATCACAAAGTTCAGGATACCATGTTCTGTAAGGCTAGTAACAATTAGAATACCACGTTAAATGCTTGGTGAGGATAGATCTGTTATAACTATGCTTTCAGAATGCCTTGTGCATTTAATAGATGCTATACAGCCAGGATAAAAAAAAAAAGTGAACGGATTAATGAAATGAACCCAGCAATGAATTTCACATGTAGCCTTTTGCTGCTTTCTACCCACTGTGTCTTGCTGCCATGTGGCTTCTCGTCAAAAGTGTCAGCCTCTTCCCTCTACCTCATATTCCTGAGTCACAGGCTACCAGCCATGGTCCCTTGAAGCTCTGTATGCACCCGTATCAACTGTTATAATTTTGATGAGCGACAAGGGCCTCTGGGTGGATGGTGCAAATGAGTGAACGTTTTGTTGTTTAGTTGCTTCTTATTTTGCTCATCATTCCCGGTTTTTCTTTCCATGATTAGGAAACTAGAATTTTGGCTCTTTTAGCTAGAAATGCACTTACCATCGTGTTTTACAAGTCAGCACCTCTGAATCTGGCTCCTTCCTGCTCTAAAAGTTTTTTCTTCAGATTAACTGAATGAGTTCATAGCTGACACATCATTACCCTGAAACCCTTTACAAGTTTCCTGCAAGTAAAGCTAATCAAGTGTTTTGAAACCTCCTATAAACCAATCATAGATGGCTGTAAATTAGGAAGGAAAAGAGAAGTGGGTGAAGTTGCTTATATATCGATATACTAAATTTTCTGGAAGGTCATCTTTAACTTGCTCATTTCTTAGGAAACAGATGGCCCTTGGCATGAAGTTAAGCCTCCTCAACTGGGCTTCAGGTCGAGATTAACCCATACATGCCAAGTGAACTCAGGATGCATCCTCATCAGCCCCCCAATATGCTTTTGTTACAAAGTTTCCCTTTGTCATAAATTCAGGTGTTCTGAGGCTAACATGCAAGGAGGTGCCTTGCATTTCCTTCAGAATATCCTCTTACTAAACAGTAACTTGGTATCACTTGCTTGGACAACAATAAACTCAATGATTTAGGCATAGATTCTTAAGACTGCAGGAACCTACAGGGAGCTGCCTCCATGTAAACTGGCATAAATAAAATGGGGAGGAATAAACATGCCTATCATTGGGCAATTGCTGGTCTCTTCTTAATCAGTAGTGATAAAAGTACTGGCCCCATTAGCCAATTCTTAGCCTTAGCTTCATTATGAAACTGTTATTAGTTTGCCACATATTAACTGGTTAAGAGCTAGAAGGACTCCACTTCCCCAGATATCCCAGGGCTTATGGATTCTCAGAGCCGACTTTTTCTGCTTGAACTGCTCTTTACGCAGCACCCGAGTGAACTTCAGTCACCTCTCCTTCTATCAGGATGGCCCCATCCCAGGTAGCAATCAAGTTTTGGGAGTGAATGCCATAACCTGACCCATTTAAAGAGATTAAACTTCCATGTGTCCTTTGGAACAACAATGAGCATATGTTAAACCCATATCAATCTAACAATCACATTGTCCCACTGGGAGGTGCTGAGTTGTCAAACTTAACAGCTCCATAGTGTTATTTCAGCCGCCCTCCTTTGCTCTGCTCTACTCAAAGCTCTCTTTACATGCAACTCCAGCCCCAAATTTTCTGATGTACTGTGTTTCCCCCGCCCCACCACCGGTGGAAGCCAAATTGTTCACAAAACAAATCAATATTTCATATTTATTAGAAATAGTAAACTAATAATAATAAAAAAAAAACCCTATCCTGCCTGCCCAAAGGCAAACATTAAAAAAAACATTTGCCCTAGTTCCCTTTCTCTTGGCTCAGGTCTACCATACCATTCTCAAGGATTTATAACCCTGGAGATGATTTTAGTTTGTTTTGTTGCCCTGAAAGGAGCCAGAGGCAGTTTGTTATCTTAACCCCAAGCACTGTGACACCAAACAGAATTCCAGGCATTTCCTCTCTGAATTGGTCCTGACCTTTTCGTAGAGATGCTGAAAGTGCACTTCAGACACTTTTCAGAGCCTGTTTTACAAGGAGGTCTCACTTGATGCAAAAGACACATCCCTGAGGGAAAATCTGTTTGCAAATTACTTTTGGCAAATGATTCCTTACCTTTATTCAACAATCTCAGTTATGTTCTACAGTCAGTTCTGATTTGTATTAAAATGGAGAAAACTCTTCAGTTTTAAGTTCTTTAAGGTAAACTGGAAGCTTTTCTAAGTTATAAAATAATTAAACGCTTTAAAGAAGCTTGATATTAAAAGAACATATTACAAAATGCTTTTCAAGTTAAATTTTACTTTGTCATTTGATTATCCCTTATTTGTTTTGCAATATAAAGTCTCTTTATGAGGTTTTGATTTATAAGAGAACACTACAATCTAAAGCTTCCAATGGTAGTAAAAACTCAACTAGGTAAGCTTACAGAAGGTTGAGTGGGTCGACAGGGGAAAAAGCAGAGAATGCGTAGATTGCTTATATGTACTGGCAGGTTGGAGTGAGTGTTGTGTCCAAATATCAGCAAGTGGTAAACACATCTGCAGCATCTCATTATAAACAGGTGTTTGCAAGCTCTCAACATTGCCTCTTCCCTTACCATCCTGCAGTGTGTTTCCTTTAGATCCTGGTCTTCTCTTTCATTGGTTTAACCAGTGCATAATCTTACTCAAGACCAGAAAAAGGAATGAGAACAGTGGAGGAGGGGAAGGACAAACACACACACACAACAAGCCTTTTACGTCTCCCCTAATAGCTTTTGAAGCTCATTCACCCCCAATGGATGGCTGGGCTA